ATGACTTAACCACATGAGAAAAGGCAGCTTGGTAAACCTAGCTACATCCCACTTGCGGCGTATAAGCCTTACATATGTCCTATTCGTGCACGATATGTTACGAGATGTCAGTACCAGGTGAAGATTGTTTGGGTATGTGGAGGTATTTACCACATTGGTATTGGATAAATATTACCGGGTATCACATATATCTACACGTAAACATCAATACATATCTAAGTTAGCTATTTAATGATCGTATAGTGTACATACCGACACACGTCTTGATAGCCAGAATGTTTTTGATGGACTCGAGCGCCTGGAAGTTGCTGACTTGAAACATGTAATCGTGGGTAGGTTTGCTTGCGATCCCTCGCAGTTCACGTCGGTTGATGAAAGAACCGATTCCAATGGCGAACATATGGATTCCCTCGCGGCGAGCTTTCATTGCCTCCCAGACAGTCCGAACCACACTATTGGACTGGCCATCTGTCAAAACTACGGCCACCTTCACTACTCCGGGTCTAGCGCCTCTTCGTTCACTAAACATCTTCCTGCGCATAGTCCAGATAGCCAGTTTGGTATTTGTGACGAATCCCCTCCTCTGACGGACTCGGGAGAGAGACTGGTGCAGGGAGGGACGGTCAAAGTTTTCGTTTAGGTGAAATTCCGTGTGAACATCTGAACTATAGGTAGCAAGACCGATCCTTGTTCTGTTCTCACCAATTTGAAACATATCGACGACATCATTGATGAAGTTGACTTGTCTGAGGAAGTCTGGGCCCCAAATACTGTTGGACGAGTCAATAAGGAAAACAACATCTGCTGGCGTGTTCCCGCAGAAGTACTCCACAGCTGAAAGGAAATCATGATGTGAGAGAAACGGACGTACAGGACAGACACAGCAAGAACAAAAATCAGACGTATGGACGCACAGGACAGACACAAATTGAACAAGATATCAGACGTATGGACGTACAGGACAGACACAAACTAAACAAGATCTCAGACGTATGGAAGTACAGGACACACACAGCATGAACAATATATCAGACGTATGGACTGACACAGTATAAACAAAACAGACAAGGTATCAACAATATATGAGACATACGGACTAACGGACCATATCTGAACTTAACATTTATGACGTTCACACCTTAGAAGTCAAGACATGACAAAGATTTAGCCCTGCTGATTACAAATGGAGAACATCGAAATGATAGAATAGCATTCACATAATCTTACGACATCATGAAAAGAATATACAAAAATTAATACAATATCAGGACAACCCATGTCTATACTTATTATATCGAAACTATCAACCACAGGAAGCTATGCTGGACGCCGATAGCAAGGATATAATTACTTTCTTGGTAAAATCGGCTGTTGCATTTAGTACAGAGTTGGCCCTTGATGTCAAATACATGTAATATATGACGTCTAATGTCAGAAACATTTATCATGTCACCAGCGGGATAACGTTAATTCCAAATTAACATTCATTGGAGACGTCAATAAATTCTCACTGCATGTGTACAGATGTCTCGCGTTAACGCCCACTGCATTTTAATTCTTCCGGATATCAATCCTATAAGCTCGAGTTCTAGTTTACATACGTGTCAAATCAAATCATTGTCTGTGTAAGGTTTGTACGCTTACTGACTGCTTCTTTTCATATTTAATGTCTTATTTAAGACAAACGATCTACATTTGAAGCATGTCACGTGATGGACAGGCGTGACCATCGGTCAGTTAAACATCTTCTCATCCAGTCACGGTGATTTCTCCTAAACATTGAACGATTGATCATACCTGTCAGTTAAAATGTATAATAATTCATACCTACAATAGAGATGTTTTGTAAATTTTTGATCAAAGGCATGTTTAGTTCTTTACCATACAGAACACAGGTATGCATTCCTATTTTTATTCAGAGCCATCTCTATTTACATACGGCATTTCACGTATTACTTTCGCGAAAATGTTCGAAGCGATTCTATCGCAAATTCGATTATTTTGAAAAAAATGTTCCGACACGATA